TAAAATTGTTACATAGTATGAATCCATTAAGGATCTCATATATCCGTAAACAATTATCAAAACATAATAATGAAGAATTAAACAAGGGGCAAGAAAATAAGTACGAAACAGCATCTTCATGTGATGATCAAATTCCGTTTAAAGACTTGCGAATTTTGGATATCGGCTGTGGTGGTGGCGTTTTATCTGAGGTATAAAAATATTTAAGTTTGTAATATAAATTTATTTACAGACATATTATTATTTGAATAAATATATGCATGCAATTAAATTGTAAAGTCGTTGGTTAGATTGGGTGCATCGGTTGTAGGGGCTGACGCGTCTCCAGAAAATATTCAAATAGCAAGATTACATGCTAGGAAAGATCCAAGATTATATTCTGGACCTGGAACTCTTGAATATAGATGTATAACCGCAGGTATTGTATTAAAACAAAATTTCAAATTAACTTTATTGATTTATCTTATTCAATTTTGGTTTTTGTTTTTCAAGAAAAATTGGTAGAGAAAGGAGAATCATTTGATGTTGTGTGCGCGATGGAAGTCATTGAACATGTGAATTATCCAGCAGAATTTCTTAAAGCATGTGCTGAACTAGTTAAGGTACTTTTTGTCATATCCCTTGCATATTTAACAAATCTTTTTTCCAAGATTAGAATCTGACATCATAACTTTATATTTAACCTCGTGATTTGTGTAACATGCAGCCGGGAGGTCACTTATTTCTTTCGACAATTTCTCGTACACCGCTTTCGTATATACTAACTATTTTATTAGCCGAGCGTATATTTAAAATAGTACCAAATGGAACGCACGATTTTAAAAATTATTTAAGACCTGATGAATTACAACACGTTATTGAACAGGTCCCAAATAACAGTAATGTTGGTGATTTAAATTCTGAAGTGGTTGGTAACCACAAGGAGGGTGATAAGTCTATTCAGGGAAGGAAATTCGGTAAATGGGGACATGTTACTGATATTACAGGGATTGGAGTTAATCCGATTACGGGGAAATGGTTCGAGTTTAACCATTGGGTACCAAGAAGGATACAGTTAGATGTAAATTATTTATTAACCGCAAAAAGAAATTAACAAATGTGAGATCTACTTTTATAGCAACATCTGAAGTAAAAAACTAGTCCATTTATAGCGTTAGATGAATATGTACCATATTAGTCAAAATAAATTGAAATCTCTGATTATCTCTGATTCATTGTATTCCATTGTATTCTAAATTTGGGTTAGAATTAATTTTTCAAAAATTTTAACTCTTAAAACAATGTAAGATCACCAAAAGAACGAAACTTTTATTCTTTTTTTTTTTTTTTTTGTAAAAATTGTAAGGTGTGCTTAATATAGGTGTTTTTTTTTACGCGTGAATCATAAGAAAATGACAGATAAAAATTTGCGGAAAGCAACCGTGGAAGAACCGGAATAATATGATTCTACCCAATGAGAATAAATACATAAATAAGAGCCAGTGTTTTCCAACAAAAAAAAAAAAAAGAAAAAAAAGGAAAAAAAAAATTATATATGACAAATCTCAAGTTCAGTTCTTCCTAATCCTAAAAATTCATACCCTTTTGTTTTTCCTTATTCACTAATAAATTTAAACACCCTATTCTTATAGGAATAATTTTTTTTTCAATGCCACATGTCCCAAATTGAAATATCAACAAAGATATGAAAATTATTTAACATAAAAAAATCTAGGAAGATGTAAAATATTTAACGCACACATCATTTCAAAAAAAAAGGCCGGTCTAAAAAAATTTAAATTTATATCCAAAAATAAGATTCCAAAATTCATCGAAATGATGTGATAGAAAAAAAAATAAAAAAAAGAAAGTATAATGTTTTTTTGTTAACCCCTTCTCATGAAGAAAAAATAAGCAATATATGTATGTTGTGTGTAAAATGGAAAACTATGTAAAGATAAATACAAAATTTGAAGAACATATACGTAGAAGTGTAATATAACAACACACATAAAACACACTAATTTGTATGGTTTGACAATACAAATAATGATTCGTGTAATATGTTACATATTATGTGTGCAATAGGATAGGGAAATAAAAAAAATAATAATACAATATAATTTGTACAATAAGTATTTAATCTTGAGCAAATTGTGAATGCGGAAAGTTGTTTATTTATGAAGTGTTTTTGTTAAAGGGAAAGGGAAATTAAACGATGTAAAGTGTAGCGTATAAAGATAGGACGCGTTTTTGTCTAAATTTAAGAGTTGAAATAAAATCTTATGATAGAAAAAAAAAAAAATCTAAAACTCTGGTAATTCGAGTCACCAATTGTTTGCAGATTTAAATCTAAAGAAATAATGAACCCCCTAACAAACCTTAGGTTTATATAACAATAAATTGCATAAGCAAAATAGAAAAATCCATATATGTTCGTATAAACATTTTGATATTATGGTTGAAGCGAATGCAAGAAAAAGGAAATTGTTGAGATCAAATAAATCACAAATGAATATAATTTTTATTCTTTTTCCTGTTTTCTACCTTGTAATATGCGGAACTAATATGTGTTGAGTTAGGAAGTTTTCCTTATCGAAACTCGAAAGATGGAAAGGAGTTGTCTGCACAATGATGTAGCTTCAATTCCTGGAACCTATTTAATATATTTAAAATGCAATATATATATATATATTAACAAATGATGCATCAAATAATCGTTTATTCCAACATTTGTGAATTGATCCAAGAAACACAGCTTTTTTTAATAGTAAACAGGACATATGGAGCTCCCAACATAACATTGTCTTATTGTATCTTATTAAATGAAACTTAATAATAAGTAAATAAATAAATTGATTCTTACCTTTCCGAGCTCTTGTGGAAATAAAAGCCAGTAATAACGCCCGTGCTCAATTGATAGCAAATATAATAGAATCCAGCGAAACTGGCGCCATTAATGGTCTTTACTCGGTGATCAGGGACAAGAAAATGCTCCTTCCATCTCATAAAGATATAATCCTTATTGTGGAAATCATAAACAAACCCGTCCTTTTTCATATGCTTTTGAAGAGGACGGAACGCAGGGAAGCGAATCTGTTGGATTTATAAATAAGTATTAAGAACAAAAAAAATTTTTTTTGGAAATTTTACAAACAAAATAATATATTAAATCGTACCCAATGTTGTACGTCGACTTTGTCATCAGCATCCCATTTCTTCGTGAGAAAAGAATATTTGCGTCCAATAATTTCTGCCTCAAAGAAAGTAGTCAATTCAGGATAGTCTTCCGTAAGGCCTTTTATATGAAGGTAGCCACACAAAAATGACTCTGAAAGATCAACGTGCTGGGATGACCAAAGAAAGATTAGCTAGTTGTATAATCTTTTACAGATGAGAACAGGAGTCTTGTATGAACATTGATAGTGCTATAATATGCAAATACAAAAATCCAATGCGATTCAACGCAAATAAAAATTTTAGCATTTTCCTAACAAACAACCCATTCGTTGATAATATGAATGTCAATCTAAAATATCTTAATACCGTATCAGCACCTATTTCTTTTTTTTTTTTATATCC